AGTCTAGTCCCCAAAATTGCTTTCCGCCAAAAAATCTGCGAAAAATTTACATGCTTTTAGGCGCCCCAACGTAAGACCCAAGCACATGCGCATGACAGTATTAAAATGGGAAAATCGCACATGACATGGAAGCATGCCCTAAAATTTCTAGCTCACTAGCCCCTCTGGTCGCTGAGTTGAAAATGGGTGACAAAATGCGAACACACGCACCCACATACATACAGACAGACTTGCCAATACACTTTTTCGTGTTTGCAAAAATATGCGAAAGGCATAAATGCACAAAGCTAGCATTATAAACTTTTATTCCGTACAAAAGCGCCGGAACACCAGTTCTGCCTTCTCAGACAGCCAGTGTGCTGCCCGGTGGGGAGAGAGGGAACCTCGGAATAACACTCTAATGCTGCAGAATATTAGGTTGGATAATGACGGTCCAGTCTGAATGTGGCTCTAACAGAAGCCTTAAAACAGTTTGATATGTTACGAAATAAGGGATCTGCTAGTGATCAGTGAACTTAGTAAATCAGCTGACTCTTCACACCCTAATTTCGGATCGCTAATTAGCGGGACTTGATAAAATCACCGTTCTCAACTGAAGCAACACTGCGCAAACAAAAGAGAGGTACAGAAAAAAAGCCTGGAATTTCCCAGACTAGCTGTGACTCTTAACAAATTTAAGCAGGTCTTGAAACGTAAGTTCGAAGGGAAATTCTTAGCGAAAAAACACAGCTGAATTACAAATTATCATTACGAACATCTCAGTGGAAGCTATACAGCTATGCCAGATTTCCTATCAATTCGTCCCAAAGAGCAGAAGGAAATCTTAGCAGTAACGACTGGCCTCACCTTGGCCGCTTCTTTGAGATGTCCCATTGCCGGATCGTGCAATGAACGACCCGATGCATTCTTCGTTGCTTGGATTAGATTCGAAAGAGCGGCTGCCACATCACGCACTGCAAATTTTGTTTAAATGACGCACCATACTATTTAGCTGTCTATTAGCATCAAAGCTAGAGTTATTCAGATTCCTCAGCCAACAATTAGCTTGCAAACAACCCAGTTTACACTGTTACCCACTGAAGTTCCGTAATGACATAAGCGATAACTCTTCTGTTATCGTCCAGGCCTTCACATCACCACGACATTTCTAAGCTCGATATTCTGAACGTCAATAAAATGCGAAATTTCATCCCCCTAATCAGATTAACAGATCCAGAAAACTGTTGAGCAGTCAATTACTTCCCTCTCCAAAATAACATACGAGATCCAGTCGCGGTGTTGAGCTAAGAT